TGCTTCCTTGTATTGTGTATGGTTATACACATTATAAGGATATTTCAGGGCATAATTATACTAAGTAGATAAGTAGTAAGTACCTTATTTAATTATAGCGGAAAGAACGCATGCAAATATGCATGAAATTAATCAAATAGGACAGTGCTAAGCTGTCCGTATACAGAGCGGCTCATTGAACACAATCATTTTTAGTGTTTTAGCGAGTTCTTTAGAGTAAGGATGCAGCAGGTATATTTCCGTATAAGGAGAAAATAAGAAGAAAGATGGCGTAGATTATAGACAACTGAACGATAGTTACCTATATCCGTTGCCCCGAATAGATGACAAACTAGATACACTTAAGGGTGCTAAGTGGTTTTCCACCTTTGAAATGAAGAGCGCCTACTGACAAGTTTTCTTTCACCGCCATGGAGGCGCCATTAAAGGTCATCGACGGTAATCATCAATTCTCGACAAAGTTCCTCATTCGTTCTGTAAAATATGCTGCCGACGTTCCTAGACCTTCCATAATTTTCTAGAAACGGTCCGTTTAATATATAAACCAATTGAAACGCGTGTGAGTTCAGTTCCAATTTGGATGCCGAAGTAATAAATAGCTTGCGTTGTTATAAATTGCGTATGTGTGTGTGTGATGAATAATATTTTAGCGGTTATAAATCAATTCATTTCCAGACTGTCACAAATTTATTGTTAATTAATTGTATATAAATAAAGCACGTAATTTAATTTACGTTACAGTACAATTATCATTTTTCTGTTAAAACCATTGCCCATCATAATTTTCTCCTGACCGTTGAAGCTTAAAGAATTGTCCTCTTTCAAGATTGTTCAGATGAAATCTGCCCCAAGAAGTTGAGCGAACTCCAGCATTTTACACTTACGATTGTAAATACTTTACCTCGTACTTTACCATTGTATGTAATTTTTTGATATTTGTTCTGATAATAAAATCCCACGTTTTGTTCCAAAATCGTTACCTGGGAATTCTTTAAGATCTATTTACTATGAAGGTTTCCACATTTGTGCTTAGTTAATTACGCAGTTTGCACATAAATAACGGATGTGTTCCCTTGGCGTATTCCGAATGTTTAGTATGTAGACAATTGCTACTGCGGTTTTTAATTTGAATTTTTTCTCCACATAAGGCCCCCGTAGTGCAGTTCAATTGTTCCCAACATTTCAATAACGTTTAAATACATTTAATCACTTTCCAAACGCATTTCGCAAATTGACTCTTTAAATCGCATAATTAATTCGAAATACGTTACAACATAAAATAATTTCCTTTCTCCTGAATTACGTAACATAAGGGTTTCCGATTCGAACAAAAACCAATTACCGGAGTCGAACGTGATTGGGTACAAGGAAGCGTGCAGAAGTAGATCGGGCATGATACTTTTCGATTACAGTCCGAAGGATTCAAAACGTCTCTTCACCGTGAAAACGAAAATGTTTCCACTCAGAAAAATCCTTCGTGAGCTTTGGATTAAAGAGGTGTAGTTGCTCTTAAAAAAGTTATTTAGCAAATAAGTAGTTTAGAAAGAAGTTACATGCGATGGAGAAAGTGTGGACCGGGATCCCTCGATAACGTTGGTGTGAAATAGATTACACGAAACGTGCTTTCATTCAATTTAAACTTCGAATTTCCAGATTAATTAAATATTGTTATACATTTTAAAGTAGAATGTTTATTTAAATGCTCAGCAAATCCGCATTGAAATTGAATTGTATTCAGAATCGATTTGCCGCCAACAATTATTAATTATTAAAGGTTTATTCCGGGGGGTTTACCGTAACAAAGCTTTTTTCTCTCCTCCAGTGCACATTGATTTTCAATTTTTGGTTTTGGAAAATTTATATAAAAGACAGAAAGTATTTATGGTTCATTGAAATCGTAGAAATGTTTATGAAAGTTTAACTAAATGATACCTTGTGGGTTGAACCTCGGATTGAACGCAAGTATCACATGGCTATGTAGTCAAATTAAGCATGGAAACCCCCGATTGCGAGGATAAGGATATTTCGTTAGTGACATAAGATACTTAAAAGCTTAATAGAAAGTTAAGTTCACTATCTCACGAAACTAAAGTGTTCCAAATTAGTCAAATTAACGAATAAGAATTAAAAAAATTCATGCCCAAAATTTGAAAACATATTGCCACATTCCCAATGTCTAAACTTCTAATCTTGTACGAACTCAAAAATTTCAATTTTGAACTTATACCCTCAACAATTCAACCACAAAACGTTTCAATTTAGAAGTTTAAACATTAGATTTATCATTTATCATTTTAAATGTTAAAATTTCAGTGCATTTGGAAGATGAACCGATGAGGTTAAAGTTAACATTTAGATGGTTATACAGGAAAACTTATAAATTTTAAACAATTTGCTCCGTACCCTATTTGTTTACCCAACATCTTAGCACAATTTAATCGATGTGTGAGAAAAAGCCGGAAAATAATGCTTATCCTGTAAAATTCCGTACATTTTTCCATTACATATTTCCATTACATTTTTTCATTACCAACAATACTAGCATTATACTGAAAGGTAACTACACTAGCAGGGGGCACCCAAAAGCGCCAATTGCTCGCGATTTCTTTCAGCCGTTTACTTACAACGGTAAGTAAATCATCCGAAGACATAGTAAAATATAACTTGATATATGTTTGAATCAGAGTTTCAGATAACTTATTTCTCCAGTATTCCACCGGACATATTTTACCTTTTGTTATTTGAATGAACTTTATGTTATTGCGCGCAATTACATCTTTCATTTGATTTTTACTGGTAATTTTTGCATTCATTTTAACAACAATTTTAATCTTTAACAAAGCACCACCTACCTACCGTTTAGGAGATTTATTTAGATCTGCATTTTGTATGGAAATGTTCTTCAAGAAAAATTACATCAAAAAGCCAGCTCAGATGCAAATCGACGTTTGCAATTGACTTTCTCGGTAACTTATTAGATTCAGTGTCCGAGTTGCTATTTCGCGCAGCAAAACTAATGTAATTGCTTGTGACATTATGCACTCATAGCCGCTATGTAATAGATTTGCAATGCGACCGTGTAGTGTGAGAAATCCCAGCGAAGAGTATAACTTCAAAGAACGACTCCATTAGTGTATCATGAATGCAGGACTCCGTTTGAGTGACATATTCTTTAAAACAGCATATTCTCAAATGGCATTATGTGTGTTCTTGGCTATCTTAGTTAGTTTTGTAGTTATTAGCTTCCTTAATAGGGGAATCCTTTATTCCCCACCCGGTACATCGCTTCTAACTTGCATTAAAAATAAACGCAGCTTTGAAGAGACGTTGTGTGTTTGTGCCACCTTGGTGTACACACACAGTGAAACAGGGCTATTTTCAAGACACACAGACTTCAGAATCAATTAAATTTTATTTTCAGAAATATTGACAGCCGATGCGCTTGAGGTATGTTATAAATTGTAAGTGATAAATAGTAATCACTGTTATAAATTAATCTATTTTAAGACTGTTATAAATTTATTGTTAGTTAATCGTAAATAAATAAAACCACGTAATTAAATTTACGTTTCAATACTGAATTCATTGTCCATGCCTACCATAGGCAATGCAAAGGAACATATGTACGTAGTATAATGGATTTACCATCAAACAGTTCTTTTTGAAGAAATATTTGTTTCTTTATTTTCTATATTTTATAATTTGATAGTAATTTGTGGTATTTGTTTCATGCTCTTATAATGAATAAGGACTAAATCGGAAGTTGCATTCACAGCAAGTCTATTTTTGGGGCACTGAATCCGAACTTTCATTAAATGTTGGTAAGGTTGTTGATTTGCTCAACAATCGGTCCTGCATTTAACTAAAATTTACGTACCTACTTTAAGTTTGTAAAGACGGAGATTTGGAATCGGTTGTTTTCCGAGTTGTGGGTAAAACTAAAAGTGGAAAAATCTCCCACCAATTTTGTTTACAAGTTTCAATTTCGGATGCCGCACCTCAAAAGCACATCAAAACGACTACTAAATTTTATATAGTACCTACCATTTGAACACACTATAATAAAACGAACTGCTATAAAGGATGAAATGCCTGAATTTAATAAACATCCCCCTAAGTAAGCCCTCGATAATCTGTTCCACATCTAATTTAATATTGCACGAAGCCCAAGCATTAATACAAACTTTAGGGATCCCAATTTGCGACATCAAGTCTGGGAGTAGGTAAAGTTCTATCATGCTTGAAAGCAGTGAAAACGTTCCCTTCTCATCACGAACAATTTTTGCGGGGATTGATAGTGTCCGGAAATTGAAAGGGATTGATATAATTCGAGAAAACTGATATGTTTGTTCTGCAATTTGCTTCTCGGCGGTATCCAAGCAACATAAGGACCATGAGGAAATATTGATTGCCGTATAAACGCGCAATACACTCGACATATAGTAGTAATTGATATTCCTCACGTTATTAACAAATTCATTTCGCCGTCAATTTAACTTTTGTCGGGAAGGGTTTAAAGTTCACAATCGAGTTTAATGGGGCGGTAAATTTTTAATCTAGATTTTGCGCAATTTTTAATTAGATTCCTGACTTTTGACTCAAACTAGTTTAATGAAGTGGAAATCGTTTGTGATTGAGCCAGAAATTGTGTTTTAGGGATGTTTGAGCGCGTTAGATTATGTGGGTACCTCCATTTCGGATGTGCGGCAGGTGACCCAAGGAAGGTCGTGGAAAACCGTAGGGAAATATCGACCGAATACCAGACTGCAAGTGACGTCACGGGGAGCGGTGAGAGGGATTTTCTTTTAGATTTTTTATTGGAGGGTTAAACTTCGACGAATTCTTAACAGGCAATGACTAATGAAATGTGAGCGTTTAACAACTTAAGGAATTACTGAAATGTTTCATATGGGTTAGATTTTTACGTCTGTAGTAAGTTTATAGTAAGTAAGCGTGGGGTAGGTAAACAAACTGATTTGGAAAAAAAATACAAAACGTACCTCAACGCTGTTATTGCTGCTTGTGCTATTGCTTCCATTTTCATTACTTTTTGGTGAATTTGTTCCTAAAGCACGTTCCTTCGCCGCTCTCGCCCAAGACTCTAGACGTTTATGAGTGACCCAACAACTGGCAGGTCCCATTCCAGACATATTGCACTAATTCAAGAAGAGGTTTGCAAAATAAACATTTTGCATTTCTTTAACGCACGCCGCTTTACTGGATGCGAGATTTGATATGATATTAAAACTCGATTGGGGCATGTCATGGTTGTAATGATTGAATTTTAATATAAGATTAAATTGATTGCCTTCGTTTGAGCATTTTGATTAATATACAACCCGCGTGCTCGACGTCGGTCGCGTCCAAAATATATACTGAGTTCCGCGCGCCGCTAGTGTCTTTCCCGGGCTCAACAGGTTGAGGGGACGAGAACTGTTTTCAAAGCTTCGACTCACGTCCCGTGTCCATGTTACAGGAATAAAAAGTAAAAACTTTTTAGTATTTCGATTATAACAGCCACCCTTGCAGAAAATGTATTGCTCCGGTGTTTAATATTAATGCACTGCATTAATACTTATTAGGTATGCGCTGAATATGATTAAATTAATAAATTTATTATGAAAATAACTTCAACTTTCCACTACCTCTATTCACAGAAATTCTTCGGGCTGGTATTTTCCTGTTCAATAAGCTACAAAGCGACTCATCACTCCAGAAAATGTAAATATACGATATTTTGTGTTATTTCAGGAGAGTTTCCCCTATTCATACCTTTCCATTATCCCGTACTTAACCAAATTAAATATTTTAATCTTATTACAGATAAACTGTGTTTTGTAGGACCGTTCGTGAAGTTCGTATAAAAAAGGTTTGTAACTTAATCATCAACGCATTAGAGTGGATAGGATTAATGCTTCAAATTGTTTAATATTAAACCTTTTGACGACCATGGATCTACGAAACCGTGGTAACACATATCTTATTGGTCTGTATCATAATAACTCTACTCTTTATTTCGCTCTACAATTAATCTAAAGCTTGGGAATAAAATAAATTGTATAATAAATATTGTATTTCGATGGCTTTAAATTGTGTAGGTGTAACATTTCTATAAAATAAATTGTGTTCAAAAGACGGAAAGAATTAGAAGTAACAACTTTATACCTTGCTTTCCCGGTGCCAAAATTCCCATCAAAAGCAGGGGTAGAAAATAATGATTTCGACAAATTATGGTATCTAGAATGGCAATAAGGAACTAGAGTTATTTTGGAAGATCCGAAAAAACGACGTTCCTAGTTGCTATTCTTAAGAAAAGATAAATAAGAATTTCGTGATATTTGCTCATTACTGTATACACTGTATGGGTTTGTATCCTCAGCCCTCCCTCCCCCTCCCTTGTGGGATTTTTGTGGGATCATGTTCCAGTACTCCAGTCGTCCTCTCACTATACAAGTGTTGCACTTAATTGTACTTGTAATAAATTTGGGAGTGGGGGTATAGGCTCAAGGTTCTTGCACTGTGCTTCAACATAGTTATAGTATAAGCCCTAACACACCTTAACCAAATTTGTCCACTATATACTATACGAGAGCGTCCACGACGGCTGATGAATCGACGTAAAGCTTGAAGATTGAAGGAAACAGTTTGTCAAAATGTACTGCACGATACACGGCACAAATGAAAACACATACCCAACCTTTTTCAGATTCTTTTAAAATCAAAGGTCCAGCACCACCACCAATAACTCCAAATATGACAGCATCGCGAACTCTGTTAAAAGGTAAAGGGGGACTGTCTTGGTCCATTTTGTTTACTGAGTGACGCTTGCATGGAATACAGTTAGAAATAGCGCTTTAAATAGTATGATGACCATCTATAATTCAATAGTGTTCTCTTAGTATGTTGAGCAGACAGCAGTGTGACCCACATGTGATGATTTTTGATGAAAACTGAATATTAATTTTGTTACGACAGGGTGTTTTGCAGGTTATAAAATTGGATATTTTTCAGCGATTTCTCGTTCTTCAGCCGACAACACGTGAAACATATGTCTATCTTCACTGTTACGACACGTAGTATTCAACCAAAAAGAGACACTAAGTCGTCATACTTAGAAAATCGTTCATTATAACAATAAGAACATTCATAATCAGAGCTGGGCAGAATACTTTAAAAAAGTATTTGAATACTAAATAGTAAATACTTTACACAAATCAAAGGTATTTAAATACTAAATACTTTTACGTCCAGCACAAGCGAATACTAGATACAGATACATTGAAAAGTATTCAAATACTTAAAAAAATAAGTATTCAAATACTTTAGAATGTATTCGAATACTTTCAAAGGTATTCGAATACTATAAAAAGTATTCGAATACTTTGAAAAGTATTTGAATACTTGTCACTCAAATATATTCAAAACCCCTTTGAATTTTCTTTCGAAATTGGTTTCTAGTCTATAACTTTTGATTGAGAAGTCTGATCGAAAAAGTACGAATTGTTTTGGATTCTAGGCACCAAAATTAATAAGAAAAAGTGTTTTCCCGAGAAATTTTGGTGTAGTCGATTTTTGGTAAAAAAGGAAGGTTATACACTGCCTTTTTTTGGGGCCCGAAAAAAAAATTGTCTTAGATTGACCCCTATAGAATGTGGCCTGTAGAATCCATAATTTCAAACAGTTCCAATATTGGGCTACTAGATCAAAAGTTACAGCCCTTTGAATTTTCTTTTGAAATTGGTTTCTAGTCAATAACTTTTGATTGAGAAGTCTAATCGAAAATGTACGAATTGTTTTGGATTCTACGCACCAAAATTAATAAGAAATAGTAGATTGTATGACAAGTAGGAAAAGTTGCATATTCCTGGACGATGATAGTGATTGTAAGCCGAGGCGTTAGCCGAGGCTTACAACTATCAGAGTCCAGGAATATACTTTTCCTACGTGTTGTACATACTATTTTTTAGTCGATAGCCAATAGTTAAAACACCAAATATACCATTTCAAACTAAATTTAATTTTCACCAATTGTCATTTGGTCTAATGTCATTAGTCTAGGCTTGTATGCGATAGGTGCGAGGATCGAACCCGGGCGGCACCTTTTTTTTATTTACAGTAATTAATAAATGCAAACATCAAGTTTGTTTTCCGAGCATGCATTGTTTGAACGTTACCATGGACATGACGTAAACAAATCGAAAATTTTTTCGTTTGAGTGAATTTATAATTAGTTGATGTGCAATATTAATATAAAATGGATATCGATGGTAATTTTGATGAAGATTTATTTTGTAGAACACCACCTGAAGTTTTGGAGGCAGTCAATGAAGCTACTCTTAATCTGTTGCCAACTAAATCGAGGGGAAGTATGAAAATGCTTATCAACGTTTTATGGAATATAGATCAAGTAAAGGAACTTATTCGTTTTCGGAAAATGTGGTACTCGGATATTTTCTTGATTTGTCGAAAAAGATGAAACCCTCAACACTTTGGGCAAATTACTCCATTGAAGGCCACTCTTATGTTAAAGCAAAATGTAGACATCACTTCATATAACAAACTGCGAGCATATTTGAAAAAGCAATCCGTGGGTTACAAAGCAAAGAAGTCGAAAGTCTTCACCAACGAACAAATCCGAGAATTTATGATGAACGCTCCAGATGATACTTACCTCATGGCTAAAGTAAGATTTTAATTGAAAGGCCTGAAGATTATAATTTAATTTTTTTAGGTTGTGGTAATTTGCGGAATTTATGGCGCCTGTCGGCGAGAGGAGTTATGTAACATAAAGCTTACGGACATTGAGGATTTGGGTTCACAACTACTGGTGAAGATTCCATGCAACAAAACCAATAAACCACGGTCGTTTATAGTAAACGACACTTATTTAGAAACATACCGTAAATATGCAGCCGTTCGACCATCCAATTTTCACTGCAATAGGTTTTTCTTCAAATACCATAATGGTAAAGGATTTAAGCAAGTAGTGGGGGTGCATACATTTGCCAGCATTCCACAAATCGTTGCTAACTTTTTGAAACTGTCCGATGCAAACCTTTACACGGGACATTGTTTTCGAAGGACATCTGCGACAATTTTGGTAGATAATGGTGCAGATTTGACTGTTTTAAAACGTCACGGCGGTTGGAAATCGTCGAATGTGGCGGAAGGATATATAGAAGAATCCTTAAAAAATAAAATGGATGTGGCAGAGAGAATAGTTACTTCAATTTCTGGCGCACATATTCAGTGTAAGGGTGCAAGCAATGTTGGCGTCTCTACTAGCACCATCTCCAAAACAAATACGGAGTCCACTTCTTCAATTAATTATGAAGTAGAGTCGACATTGACTGGACTACCAAATTTCATTGGAACCTGCAATAATTGTACTATTAATGTACATATTAATAGGCAATAAACTATTCATTTGCGTGTATAACTGTTCTTTTATTTTTTCATGCTCACAAGAATATAGATATTTTCTCGTACTGTACAGGAATTAAGATTCCCGTACAGTACGGAAATCACATGCTTTGTGATGACATAAACAAAACAATAATATGCCATTTTTCCGACTATCGACTAAAAAAGTGTTTTCCCTAGAAATTTTGGTGTAGTCGATTTTTGGTAAAAAAGGAAGGTTATTATACACTGCCTTTTTTTGAGGCCCGACAAGAAAATTGTCTCAGATCGACCCGGAGATTTTCTTATAATATATATAATATTATATTATACGCACCAAAATTAATAAGAAAAAGTGTTTTCCCAAGAAATTTTGTTGTAGCCGATTTTTGGTAAAAAAGGAAGGTTAAGTATTCAAATAGGTACTATGCGAAGTATTCGAATACTTTACGAAGTATCCAAATACTTTGCGAAGTATTCGAATACTAAATATTTGTGAAAGTATTTGAGTTACAAATACAAATACAGCTTCCATAAAAGTATTTAATTACAAAGTATTTGAATACTTTAAAGGATTTGAATACTAAAAAGTATTTACAAAATCGAATACTGCCCAGCTCTGTTCATAATTAACAATTAAAGCAATTAATTTCTTCCGACATTCCGCATTAATTTCATGTTCATTCAGGCCGGAAAGTTGATCAAATTCTGGCCAGTTTTCTGGAAGACTATACGGCGAACTAGGTCTCTCCCACCGTCACGATTCCAATAATTGTTTGGGTGAGCATCCACGTGATGGTAAGTCTGCAGGATTTCATGGGCCGGGCACATGTCGCCAATCTTCTTTAGAAGTAAAACTTAGAATTTCTTTTGTCCTATTCCATAGAAATGTAGACCATTGATCCTCCCTTTTGATCCATGAGATCATTTACTTAGAGTACCATTAACAAACTTGTACAATCGAGCTCCTATTGTAGCTGCAAGTAATTCAAGCCTGGGAATAGACATAGTTTTTGATGGGGTTACTCGTGACTTCGCTTGTAACAAGTGAACGAAGACCTTATCTTCCTTTTGCATTCTGATGATTACGATAGCTACATTAAGCATCTTTGCTAGCATCACAAAATACATGTAAACTCAGACTGATTCTCAACGTTACAATAATTAATCCATCGAGGAATTCTGATCTGGAGTAAATAAGATAATTCGCCTCGCCATTTATGAAATTTATATTTTATTTCTCCTTCTATTTCATTGTCCCAACCAATATTTTCCTTCCATATACTCTGAAGTAACAATTTGGGATAAACGGTAGTGGGACAAGTGAAGCCTATGGGATCAAATATTTGTTGCGCAAGTGACAGTATGCAACTAATTACAGCACCTGCATCAATTTTACAACAATTTTGATTCACAGAAATGTTGTCAAATCTCTTATGCCAGTTAAGCCCTAAAACTGATGTTTCATCAGAACCTACTTCGTAGGGAATATTCGTCATGGTGGCTTCCCATACTTTGAGTTCAAAATGACCCAGGGCCATAATTTCTGTTGCTTCTTGAATAAAGGCGTTGAGCTCATGAAAGCTGACCACGCTGGTAACGCAGTTATCGACATAAAAACTTTCCAACAAATTGCAAACGGTATCCGTGGTTGTTAACAGACTTCTCAAGCATTTTATTCAAATGGAATTTGATGGTCACCCCCAACATATATGAACTGCAACAAACGCCGAAAACAACTTTTACACACACCTTTTACTGTCCTAATTTTAGACAAGTAAAGCATGCCCTTTTATTGCTTAAAATGTGTTGTTTCTCCGACAGTAAGATTTTCCGAGTCATAAAGAATGACTCACTAGCATGATCTTTTTCGCAAAACAAACATTTTGCAAGAATGTTTACTGACAGTAGAGGGTAAAATTTCGCAAAAATGCAGCTTTTTATAGTTCACTTACTTGTACCTTGAGCGTATATTTTGAAAATTATGGGGGTTGGTTTAAAAATAGCACTAATAGAAGATGTGAATTATTTTTGCACCGTCTTGTAAGGTTGACGACGTCAAATACTGCGACGCATTTTAGTTTCGATTACCGTACGTATTTATAAGGCTTTCCAAATTCGCTTTGATCTCCACCACAAAAGAAAGCCCCATTACTCTCTATGAATAAGTAAATACAGAAACCGCGAAATAATAATCGAACGTCATAATGACGTCAGCTTCCCTAACTGAAAAGTCTTAATAGGCATAGGTACCTTGAAATCGCTGTAAGATGAAGCGGAAAATGTTTCATATTTTTCAGCATCTGCGACAACCTTCTTCCGCACGTGTAACTTTCAATGCTTTTCGACTCCGTGTAGGTACATATAAAGACATGAGTCGTTCTGTTTCAAGCATATTAAAATGAAAGGGGTGGTAGACGGAATAGTTGCAATATGTCGTAAGCTAACAATAATCTTGTTTTATTTAACTTGTAAAACAAACAGGAGAACTCCCAACTATTTGTCAAAGTTGAGTTTGTACTCAATTAAGTTTATTTAGCGAACGGTTCTGTAGATCTAATGAAAGTTTATTTCTGATCAAATATTTATGATCAATTATAGATAATTGGAAAGTGAAACTTTTGATTCACTATGGCAAATATTGAAGGTATACTTTGTGTCCGTCATTGCCCATACAGAAAAGCAGTTTTTCCACACAGCTATAGCTAGGGAATCACAACTTACAGTTCTCATTGGATTGGATTAGGTTTACATTTATTTGCTTTACTATAAAACCTCCCGATATTTCTGGATTTACATAAATGCGGTATCACAAGCAGAAAAGCACGAGCTCGAAAATATATAATTTTTTTTCACGCACTTAAAAATCTCCAATTCATTCATCCGAATTAGATGCTTTTGTAAGCAGAACAGCAAGTTCCATAATAAGAACTACACACATAAAACATATGCTTGGTGGAGTAATTAATTTTGATTGATCAACTGACTAGAAATAAGTTGAGTCAATTACGCAAGGCTACGGAACCAAATTGCTTACCGTGCAAATTAAAAAGTAATCCAAACTGCCATAAAATGCACTTAATCTCCCTGTAAGTTTATTTTCGTTATAATTCCATTTAATCATTGAATAAAGTGTTTTTATTCAATGATTTAATGTAGTAGATAGAAAAGTTAGTTTTAGTTAATTCCGTTAACAGCTTGTTAATGCGTTTTAAATTATTCATTTCTAAAGCTGAAACTTAAACGTAAAAATTCTTACAATGTAAGATTTTAAAGTATAATGCGCAATATTTTCATGTTACATAAAGCTTGAATGAGAGCGATGTAAATATGTAGTTTCAGTAATTGGGTTCTAAGAGTTACGAATCGTTGAACTGAATGTAATTTTTTAGCGCATTTGCCCAAGGGAACTTTGTGTAGTGCTTTATTTACGTAAGTACCTACACGCTATCTTCTCCCCGACTCCAGCTATTCTCGATTCCAGGGGTTTCACAATGTGGTAGCTATAGAGTATAGAATGAGGGAGAGAGTTTTTGGATAGAATCCTTTGGGTTCGTGCAAAATTACATATGATGTTCTTAACTAAAGTTGCAAAAAAAGATCTATATGTCTGAAAATTATATTGAAATATTGACGTACAACAAATAAACAGTGTGTTTCGCTAATTACTGCCCAGTGCACCCAGTAATAGTTGCCACTGTCCCGATTAAATTTGCACAGAATAATCCGTCGATCTAAGCCCTTAGGCAACCAATGAACAAACTGGAGCCACTGTCCGTACAAAGTTCTTAAAACCACCCTTTTAGACGTTCAGTTTTCTACGTGTAATTTATAACTAGAAAATGAATTTTTTAAATTATAATTTAATCACAAAAATAGATGGTTAATTCCAAAAGTATCACTTTTTATGGAAAAGATCATTGTTTTTAATAAATTATTCGGGATAAACTCGAAAAGTGTGCATTTTACAAAAAAAACTGTGGAGAACAAAATCGTAACTTTAAAAATGGTTTTTTAATTATCGCAGTATGACCAATACACGAACCGAGCAATGGCATGTTAAAGGTTAACCCTTGTTGGTCCAACGCATGTTTCGAGAAATACTTATAGAATCTTTTTTAAATTATTTAAATAAACCTTTCTTTTTTAAAAGAAAAAGTACCTACCATAAAAAATTACCCATTTATGATTAAAATAAGGTCAGTAGCCTATAAAATGATTTTTAATGAACTTTACATGATAAAAATTAAAGGAGTTATGATTAAAAATAAATATATGTGTGTATGTAATGTAAGTGAAATTAGTAATATTTAAAGCAACAACATTTTTCAATTAACATACTGCGATAAATTATTATAAGCGCGCAAACTATTTATTTTTTAGGCGTTCAAATTAGAACTCTGCTGAAACACAATTTGGTTTGCTTATATAGTAAATCCTAGTGTTCTCAAGTCCACAGAAAATATTTTGTAAATTTGTTTGAATGATAAACATTTATTTAATGTACACAAATTATAAAAACATGGCAGATTTATGGTGCGGGTGCTGCGAATTCTCTTTGGATTATGTACCAAATTAGTATAATCCCCTGATTCGGTCACTGTATTCGTTGATAAATCATAATTTCAGTTTTCACCAAATAATTTTCTACTCAAAGTTGGTTTCATGTGTCAATATTTTATAATATGTGGGTCACAGAGAAATTTCCATCGCATTAAAGTCATCGAAAGTGTGATACGATAACTGACCTTTTATAAAGGTTAATTTTGCTAAAGTTGCATAAATGCGCATAGAGTAGAGTTTTCAGTTTACTGCTATCAAGCAATCCACTATGAAACCGACCATGTTGAGTTTAGTGTTCTTGTGGTATGTGGTTCAGGTATAATTAAATAGTACAATTTTTCCTCGAATACCTAATAAGCATTTATCCGCCAGGTCGTTTCAGCCGAATTCCCCGAAGAACTAATTGAAGAACACGTCCACGAGTGCTTGAAAGAGCTAAACCTCGATAAAAAAATTATTTCGTCGATTTTCGATGATAAATTAAGGGTTGTCAACTTGGACGAGACAGGAGCTAAGCTTTTAAAATGTGGAGTTAAAAAGGGTAACTACTTCACTCCCGACGGTAACCTTAACAAGGAGGTGATTGTTGGAAGGATCGCCAAATGGCTCAAATTTATGGTTAAGCACGATGAGAAGGATTCGACGGCGCTGGCTGAGGAATTTTATCAACATTGTGAAAACGTAAAAGGCGAAGACCAATTTGAAGTGATGAAACAGTGGAACAAATGTCTCGCGAACAAAGCAGACACCATCCAATCATGAATACATGTCTCTATTTTAAGTGGCCCCTTAACTATGTATTTCATGAAGTCTACTTACAATTATTATATTTGATTTCATGTATTTATTAGTATAATGTGTAGTATTTTCAAATTATTGGTCTTATTTTAAAGTGAACTATGCACTATCTGGCACTATAAATTTACAAAGTTTGCAAAGAAGGCCCACTTGATTACACGGAAGTGTACTTGTACGAGCTAAATTTTGTTCTTAAATGCCTGTTCGGGAATGTGTGAGACTATCGTTAGCGGACTGTATTTTTTTATGGTGTGTTCCTTGTCCCGCCTTGTTGTTGAGGGGTTAACGGGTACGTCTCAGCTCACTTTAAAACCTACATAAAAAAGTTGGTAGATTTGCAGGACAAAAATCTACCTCAATAAACACTTAGAGGGTGAGAATGAACGAACATAATATTTTTGCCCTTGGCGTTGAAACACTATCGACTAAACTAAACTAATTTAAAAACTGACTTGACATTATTGTTAGGAGTTTTGAGTTTCAATTCGAAACTCTTAACATTTCAAGTTTAAATTTGTAATATTAAAATGTTATGTTACAACTTATAGGTTGAAGTTGTGGGGTTAAAATTTCCTATTGTAAAAGGGTCTTCTAAAATATCGACTTGGTGCTGATTTAAAAAATAGCGCAGGACTGTTGATTTGTCAGTTGGAATCTCTTTCCATATTTAATTTTATTTCATACCCAAGTTTCACACTTTGCGTGCGATTTGAGAGAGACTTTTTAAGTATACCTATTTTAATTTCTACAATCACTGCCTACAGAATGAGAAAATTTCCTCCTGGTAGAAAAATTGGCATCCCCGTCGATTCACAACTTTTCAGATTCGGGTCCTTTTATCAAAACAGAAATTAAGTCCTAATTTTAAAGGCGCCTCATCTCTTCCAATTTAATTTAAAACACCTTTATCTCAAAATTATGTTGAGCCATTTTCATTATGCGGACAACAAAAAGAAAATTCATATTGGAGATTCGGTAGAAGTTTACGCCCTCTGCTTACTGACCTATTGAAATCAGACATATCGCCACAGATTTGAGTGTTTAAATCTGTGATATTGCGCTCTGAAAATGTATCCCTCTCTTCATGTAGTTTCCAGCATTGAACTTTGATCACATAAATCAAGTCGTCGAACCAATTCAAAAAGCCTGGACAGATAAGGGAGGATTAGGATTCTGCGTACTAAGCGGTTTGTGTCTACGTTCGTTGAAGGAAATTGCCGTTCGAGGAGAAATCTTTAAACGGAAGACTTTAAAATTTCAGTCGGTAACATGTTACAGTTTTCGGAAGGGGTTCACTTTAAAGCAACGTTCGGGAAATCTGTACAAACGTCGCGCCACTACGGTGGAAATCCGTACTAAATAAACTTTTCTGTTTGCTTGACCGCGAATCAAACCAGCGCGTTGCAATTTCTATACAAATTAAAAATTTGTTCTATTCTCTGACTTTGTTCGCGTGTTTCTTTGTTCTGTTCCTTGGCTGTATTAGTTACTTATGCGTAAACTTCCATCGCAGGCATGTATTTTGTATATGAAGTGAAAGCTTAATATGAGAGTGAAGGAAAGTGGGAGTCGTGTAACATTTTCCTGACACACGTCGCCCTTCATCGAGTTTTTTGCCTTTTACTTTAAGATATAAGTTCACTGTCACCTATGGCAAGCAGAATGACGCTTTTCGTTTGGAGCTTCTTTGTATAATGTATATTTCCTAAAGCATTGACATTCGATTTGCGAGTTTGATACCCCGCTGTGCTGGACTCGATTCTATTTCACAACGGCTTATGACATATTTTTTATAAGACTTTTGATTGTTAGTACCTAAAGTATAGAACTTTAACAATAACATTCTTACAAAGCATCGGGAAGGATAAATAGAAAAACATGGGGTACCTAAAGCATTGAATTTATAACTGAATTCAAGGCCTAAAATAAATTCCAATACATACACAGAGTGTTGCATCGAAAAGTTTCCATCTTGGACAGATGAGACTTAGTTTTGAGATGTGTAGAATCCCAATTATCTGTGCTCCACGAGACCGGACGAAGCACGGATAAATGGATAATTGGAATGCACGAATAATCAAAATTAATTTCTTACATTAAACCAAAGAGTAACCATAATTACTCTTTGATTAAACATATTGCATACATAAAGGGTGTCCCAGGAGGAATGGGCAATATTTTGGGAAATTAAAGTTAGTAGAGGTTATTTGAAGACAAAAGACCCTAATAAACGATATTTTTATTCTCAACTGTTTGTTTAATTTTATGGATTGTTTATTTAGATTTGTGTATATAATTGCAAAACGTAAAATTGCGTGTTACAATGTGAGAGCATCTAGTTAAATTTTGAGTATTTTGTTTTTGTTTGTGAAAAGTTTTCTTTTAAAACGGTTTGTCCATTTTCAGAAAAAGTTGGTTGGAATCAATAAAGCGGTTGTCTGCTTAGTGAAAGTTAAACGTTTCTACTGCCGAGAATTTTTTCATCTTGTTAATGAAGCTCGTTCGAGTTATTGAGTCCAGTTTTTGTTTTAAAGACAATGCAAAGTTTGCTAAATCTGTCAGCAAGTTTTTGTGTGTGTTTTTGATAAGTGCGCCTGAATATCGCGAACCATTCACAACCAGATTATTTGGATTATTTCAAAGAGAAAAAAAAAGATTTTTTTACTTATAATTATCGAACGTTTGAGTGCGGCGTAATTTTTTTAAACAAGCTTTGTCAGCTTCTCTTTCTTCCAGGAATTTAGTTTTAATTTTTTCATTTAATGAGTTTCGGAATAAAATGGAAGAAGGAAGAGAGGAACCAGAAGTTAAACCAGTTGGAGAGTGACGTGAAAGAGCAGAGGACACTAATAGTAGTAAAGAGAGTAATTTAGAAGAAATGCCCATTGAGGGAAAAGAAGAACATAAAAAGGTAAAAGCATCAAATGGTGTATAAGTAGAATCAAATAAGATAATAGATGAAATAAATCATGTAAAGGAGGAAACAATAAATGATACGCATAAGGTCACTAGCGTAGAAAATTGCACAGAAAAACGAACGATACTGACAATACAAGTCAAGAAAAATGAATGAAACCGCGCTTGTTCATGATGGAGTTGAACTGGTCGGGGAATAAGGTGTTGTCAAGAAAAATGATTTCAATTCTAGTAAATAGGGTGAAATTGCCATTGCACACTAAAAAGGATTAAAAAGAGAATTTTTATACAAGAAAATGTGCACTTTAAATAACCAAACTGATAACTTAACTTTGCAAAAAGCGGATATTTTTAGATAGCTATGCTTTTAAAAAAAATCAGTCACGTGTGAAAAGTTTTAGTTTTAGTCTCCTGTGGCGCATGCTGCGTAAATTAAAAAAGTCGAAGTTGATTCAAGGAGGGAGGTTCTGTCCCTTTTTCTGCCTTCTACAGTTAAACACGAGTCAATACAGTGAGTTCATAAAAGCACCTGACTGCAATAAACGCAGTTGTTCGTCGGTTTTTTGGGATGTTTAGGTACTTATTCAATTTATGGTTGAAGAAACTGCAAATAATAGTGAGGGTGGATGAATGCCCGACTATACGTTTGAAAAGCCATCGAACTACTGACATATCGTAGTTGGACATTTAACGTGATGTTACGGCTTGTTTTTGTTCAACTTCATCTAAAGAGGTACCTATCCCATCAGAGGTTATTATTCAAATAATTTTAAAAGCACAGGAATCTCAATTTTGAGCGTAAACATATGATTGGTTCTATTGAATGAGATAATCAGGAAAACGTAAATGTATGTAGGGAAAGTTATTTTTTAAAGGCCCCTGAGGCGGTTGAGGACAAACTGTTAAAGAGAGAAATTCTCGCAGTGTCTAAGTACTAGAAGCTATTGAAAATGAGAAACAAAAGTAACCGATACAAATAATATGCATTTGCAAAAATATCTACAAACATCCAATACCATTAGAGTTAGGTGTATGTCCAAGTCAAGTCACATTTAAGTCAAGTCACATTTAAATATCATTTATGTGGGATCTCATTTCGCCCAATTTCTGACAGTAAAAGCACGATGATCTCACGAGTCAAATCCATTCCCTTTTGCCTGTTGTTAGAGAATCCGTTCCTTTTCCTTCAATTCGTTTCTCTAAATTTGTATTTGAATAATTTTTGCATACACACTTAAATTGTATAAATTACTGAAAACATTATTCAGCAGAAGCGGGTATAAAGTAAATATTTCGACACAATTAACGGGCAAATAGTAAACTGAAAAGGGCATTAAAACAACGTTATTTGTCTTTCGTGTAGCCCCGACAAATTAGGTATTGATATAACTTTCAATGTGGGTAAAATTCAGGAATCATCGATATTTCGAGTCGAGTCGAGTCTTTATACTAGAACTGATCACTTTTAATGAAATTGAACACAATCCTGTAATAAGCATGACACGTAAAGTGAATTATGACTTGATCTTGAAATACCATTGGTCGAGATTCGTAAATCTAGGACATTGTCTGACGCCAAATGGTCAGACGCTAACCCTTGTGTGATGAATCCTACAGATAGTAATCACTCTTACTAGAAATCCCTTTATCTACGCTGAAGGGTATACTCCTTTCAGCATTTGTTCCACTTATCCATAGCTAATGATTAAAAGCTCGCTTTCACAGTTACGGTTTTCGCTGTAAAATTCTGAACCGCATAGCATAAAAGCACTTATATTAACTGCCATTTAATTTTCCCGTTCGGAGTTTAATGATAGATACGGCCGATCATTTTATTTTACCGTTAAATTTCAGGATTTCAAATATATAGAAGGTATAAAATTTTTATATGAAGCACATCGTTATAAATTGAATTAGTAGGCACTAAAAGCAATATTGATATCCCCCGTTTTTAGTATATAGGTATTGGCTCTTTCATCCGATCCTAAAATTTTAATTCAAACTATGTATTGGGCCGTATCTGAAATACCCATGAGATGACAGAAAAACCTATACCTAAGAATGAGATGAGATGCGGATGGAGGAACTCTGTAAATTACTTTATCCTATACAGAATGAGGTGAATGTCTTGGACAGATTGAAAAATATTGTTTGTTGCA